TGCTCTTCTGGAGTGCCCTTTTCGAGGATGAAATCAGCCATATCCATCTCATCGTCCAAAAACTTATCAAGCACTTCTGAGCAATGGGGGAAGAAGCGCCGGCCCATTTCCACTGCCATCACCATATGATATAACTTACTGATTGCTCAGAGAATAATGAGGATAAAAGTTATGCTCTTTCCTAAACTAGTTCAAGTTGTATATGGTAGTCCAGCTTTAGACTTAATAGGGTTTTACAAAGACTCGAGTCTTTGGGAGTAACTTCATCCTGGGACTAGGGAAGTTACATGACAGTCCATATTGAAAGCATTTTGTAACTTTCTCCTGTACAGGTAACCATGGTACTATGCTGCATGTTTCAACCCGGTTCTATCATTGTATAATTTTTTCGGGTTGATTATAAGGTTGTGGTAAGCATGGCAGGCAAGTTACAGGTTCAACAATGAAGGATTTAAGAAGAGTATGGTCAAAGAGGATAGGCATGGAAAACCGCGCGTTAACACGTGCCAAGGAAATATGCAAGTCACAGAGGATTTATACATGTCACAGATAAGACGGCCATACCTGTTTTACGGAGGGCTTGCATTCTTGCTTGGAGTCTTTTGGTCCGTCCAGAGGGTGTTTCATTCAAATCAACCTCTCGTAAGTTCCCACTTGACCCTCTTGATGCTGAAAGGCCAGTGGGAACTGATGTTGAATGAGCATCAGCCATTTCCATAGCAAGTTCAAGGATAAGAATACAAAGCTCAAAGTAAATGTCTTGATTAAGAATAAGGTAGGCTAAGGTGCTGGTAATTTTGACTTTATACATTAACTAATGGGTCGAATTTCTATAAGCAGGGGCACCAGGGACTTCAAGACCCGGATATCATATATCCATGCAATGCTTTCTCATCCTAAGCATCTTCTTAAATTTCTTGGGGTTAACACTAAAAAGATCGAAGTATTGACATAAAATAACATAAACAAAAAAACAATTTAATGAACATAAGACATGTAATTTGTACATCTGCATTATCCTGAACTCAAATCATTATCAATAAAATTATAAATGTAATCTAAGTGAATTATTTAATATAATTAAGAATCATCACCTCTATTTTCAAGATAGTCCAGCCTCACGTTCAAATCATCAGCTATCACCTCTGATCTGATTGACAAATTCCCAGACATTGAGTTTCTTCGCATCTCTCTCTCTAGAAGATCGATGCACATCCGGTCTTTGTTGGATTCCTGTCCCTGCATTGTGTTCTCATAAAAATCCTTTGGTCTAGTCAACCTCCGGCAAATTGCAACAGCAGTTTGACCATCTGCTGTAGTTTCTGAGGCAGAGGCTCCCCTGTTCAGAAGAGGAACCATAACTGCTGGGTTCTTACGTCTGGCTGCCACATGAAGTACAGTATGTCCTCGGGCATTGCAAAGGTTGATAGTGGCCAAGCCTAGACCAAGAACCTCCTTAACAACTTTGGGATCACAGTATGCAACTGCGTAGTGGAGTGCGTAAGCATCATCTAATGTAATATCAGATTCCTTCAGGAGAAGCTCAACCAGTTCAACATCATCAGAGTCTAACGCCTTGTGGATTCTCCTGATTCTCTTATCCTCGACTGGTTCCATTTCCATCATACTTGATTCATCCTTTTCCTGTGATTTGAGATGGAGTGATTTGATAACATTTGAAACTTCATGAGGAAGCTCTTTCTCTATAGCCACACTGTCAAGATCTGACCTTGCTACCCACTGGATGCAGTGTGAGAGCAGCTGACTCAGTTGGCAGTGGAAGGCAACTACAAGAATTGGGATTACGTCTTCAATAAAAGCTTTCTCAACAAAGTTTGAAAGACGGCGCTGCATAAATTGGTGGAAATTGTCAGCATACAAACACCTAAAAGCTGGCTAGTGTTGACAAACATAAAATAAACAAGACAAACTTGCTGTTTAGTGGGATAAATATACCAATCAACAGGTAACAATGAACAGATAGGCTACTGGATTCCCCACAAGATAAGTGATTGAAACTTAAATTAGGCTAGGATATAGATTATACTAGCATTGTGTCGAAATCTAAAACTTGCCAAGGTTTAGTAAGTTATACCAAAACAGAAGGATTATGAATGCGTTCAAATCTAAGACTTCAAAAACAACTCAAAGAGAACAAGCAAAAACTAGCAAGGAACCAGGATCATTTTGTAAATTATTTAGATATCATCATCATACCAAAACTACACAAGGCAACCAAATAAACCTTGCAAGAAAAATTGCAATTGGTCCTGTTGTAAAAGATATAACATTCAACAAATGCAAGAGAAAAGAACCCTTTCATACTATAAATTTTGAGACTAAAGGAACGTGGTACAATTTTGGAAAACCAGATCAAATAGTAATTCTTATGCTTCATAGCTTCTGAGAACAAAAAATAGAGTTTTGATAAAGAAATTGTAGGCCACAGGCTGTAGTGTAAAAACAGTTGGTGCACACACTTAGTAATTGCAATGCTTCAGAGCTTTTGCTAACAATTAAAAAAGCAGTGATTAAGAAATTATAGGCCACACAGGCTATAGTGTAGTAAAACAGCCTGTGATTGTCAAGCCAGAGCAGGAAATTGGACATTTGTCAGGAAGAAAGTTGCATAAAAGGTTTCAACTTTGATCTGAAATTAATCTGGCATACTCTGGACAGAGTATAATTCTGTAAAACATGGAGAGGGTAATCTTAAAACATATATGTTACTATTTCATCATCATATTAGTGATTTCATCAATTTGAAGGAGCAAAAGGTGAATTCAGAAAATTCAATTTGCAAGTTTTCAGACTGTAAGTATCAAAAGTGTGCAACAAATTGCAAAGGTAAAGTAGATAAAGAGAGAACATATTTTCAAAAGATCAAATGCATCTCAACTTCCAGAGATAAAACCAATGTCATATCTTTAATGTTTTCAATAAAAACTCTTTATATATACATATACATATATATATTTATATATATGTATATGTTTGATATATAGCAATAGTGATTGCTGTATGAATTATCATCAGACTATTCTAATTAAGCTATTCAACTTAACAAGCTAAGAACACAAATTATTGAGTGACACATTCATTTGCAGAAGAGAAACTTTTAAGATAAATAGAAGCGCAACAACCTGAACAAGCTGAACAAGCTCCTTCATCTGGAAAGTGGCAGAAGCATACATCAACTCTACAGCATAATTAATAGCAGGGCCACATGCATCATGGGCACAATGATCGTCAACACATGTGGATACTTCTCGAGGTGATGGCTGAAGCTTTCCGGTGTACAAATAGTTCAAGATAACCTTGAAGGCTTCATAGCCAACCCGGCCATTAGGAACCAAGTCAGACATGAGATACTTTGGTTTACCTTCCTTAATCGAATCATCATTTCCCTGCTTAAAAAGATCCTGAAAAAACTGACTACGTGCAGCCAATATGCACCGGTTAACACCTACTGTGTTGCCCTCAACAATAATCTCTGCGTCATTATAGTCATATTCAGGTTCAAGTAAAAGTCTCTCAAGACTGCCACTGAGTTTGTTTAGACTCAAATAAATTTCAATACTTGGCACAGGTTGAGAACTGGCTGAGGCAGATACATGGTTACTACTGGACCCATTTGATAGATAAGAGGAGGAGGCAAAGCTCAAGGATGAAGACAGTTCATTCACATTATCCATGACTTGAAATCAATAAATGAATCAAGAAGCAGAAATCACCCAATTAAGAAAACCAGGCTAATTCTCCTGCACAAACTGCATCATTCTATGGATAAAGCATATCTAAGCTGACCCATTTTCTCCAAATTCACCGTAAATTGGTAAAAACAAGCAAAATAGTGAAATAATCTGACAACCCAAAAGTCAAAACTTAATTCCAGGCAAATCCCACTTGTTGAAACATTGAGCAAAATCCCAAAAACCAGACACAAAAGACAGAATTTTTGCTATATAAAGCTAGGCACCAAAAGTGAGGTAGTAAATCCTTCATGTCCTGGTATAGATACGTCTTGAATCTTCATAAGCCATCATCAGCCCCATCAAATCTAAAGCTCGGAGCAGTCAATAGTGAACAAAATATGAACTAAAACCCTCAAAAGACTGAGAAAAGCTCAAGGAGAAAAGGATCAAGATTGCATACAAAGACACCCTTTTGAAGTAGCTTGAGTATAAATGAAGCAACAGCTGCAGATGGTGAAGCTTAAACAAGAAGAGAAACTCAAAGACCTGACAGTTGACCAGGAAAAGCTCCAGGCTTTGATATGCTCTTGAAAATCAACAAGATTTTGAACAAGACAGGACTCTGAAACTTCGAAGAAGAATGAGTTGAGGGTCTTCAGGAAAAAGCCGCACTTCTCAAGGGTTGGATGAAGTGGCTTGTATTGTGAATCTTACTGGTCAGCATAATTGGTTGACTGTCCAAGTAACAGGACAAAGTGCAAACTCAACATGTTATTGTTAATGACAAAAAATATATGTCAGCACCAAAGAATTTATGTGATGATTAAGATTAATTTATCTTAAGAAGAACATTTAAGAATATTTTAATAAATTTATGTTGTTGTAAGGAAAGAAAGACAGTTGGACAAGGATTGCCTCCCCCCATTGGCCCTTGAGTTGACTTGACTTCTCGTTGCATGAAAACCTCTATTATCAAGCTTTGGTTCCCGCTCGGCGGCTACTCTGCCGTGTTATATTAACAACCATGAATATTATTTGTTTTATTATTATGAAAAACAAAAGTATATGACGTTGGTTTGAAATCAATTAAAGGAAAAGTCTTTTCTAACCAATCATAAAATGTTTATTGGTCTTATTTGGAATGTTACATCAATTACAGAACTGTTGATTTTGTAATTTCCCAAAAGAAATGTTACTAATTTACTACTTTATCACTTCGGTCTATTTCAAAATGATTTTAGGCAATAACACAAACTGATGTTAACCTAAGAAACGTCAAAATGCTGTCTCGTGAAAGAAAAAGACTTTTTTCTTAGTTATAATTCAATATGTACTAAAAAAAATTTGTACTGGAATTCGAATCTCTCTTTTTCGTGAATTAGAAGAGTTTAGAGTATTATTTTTTCTAAGCATGGTAATGGGTGACATTAGACAAAAGGAAAAATGCTGTACATATTTTGAGATGCAAATTGTTTTTTCTAAGCATGGTAATGGGTGGACAGATGTCATTCGCCCACCCTGTGGCTGTGAATTTCGATAAACTCGACCACACTGGAGACAAGCTCCTCAACTTCAAAAGCGGCCGTAGTATCCACCACCAGCTTGGGTACATCGCCCACATCGTACTCCGTGCACCCACCGTACCCGTCCAATAGCCTCTGCATATCCCGCCACGTGGACGGCTTGTGCCAGCCCGGCCCTCCACCAGCCTCAGCGCGGCGCTCGAGCCTTCGGCGCCACTCCGCCTCGTCCTTGGGCCTACACTCCACAATCAAGAGGCGGGCCCCACTAGACGACGCCAACTGGGCCAGGCACTCGAAGTGGGCCCTACGGGAGAGGGGCGAGTCCACGATGACGCTGAGGCCCAGGCGTAGCTGGGTGGCCGCGATATGCCAGATGACGCGGTTCGACGCGTCGTTTAGTACGGAAGACGCGGAGGAGGAGGAGGCTTGGAGACTCTGGAGTTTGTCACGCACGTCGTCTTTGTCTAAGAGAGGGAGTTTGAGAGTTGAGGCTAAGGAATTGGCTAAGGTGGTTTTGCCTGTGCCTGGATGGCCCTTCATTGCTATCAACAATTGAACTCTACCTTTATCTTCTTCTTCTTGTCTGGCCATCTCTTACGGTCTCTGAAAAAGGGGGGTAAATTTGAGTGCTTGGGGGGTTGTTCTTATTTTGATATGGTGGGGCCTACCTAATGGGACAAAGCTTAGTTATTAAGGTCATCCTAATTTTTTATTTATTTTTGGGCCTTCCCTCGTCTTTTTCACATGCTTAGTGATAAGGTTAATAATGAATTGCAGTGGATATGATTGTGTTTTGATGATTTGATCAATGACAAGTGGCTTAATCTAATAGGAAAGTTGAAAGAGGAAGATAAGAACAACCAAAATTTGACCATGTCATTTTCAAAACAGTGCTTTCAGATACCCAAAAGCGCTTTTAAGCTTTTGTTAAACGCGCTTATGACAGAAGCGCTTAGTTTGTGTTCAGTCCTTGTATATTGGTGAAGTCCATGCATGGGGGCCGAACGATTATGCAAAGTTCCATCTTGTATCTTGTCACAATAGTTTCATCAAATATTAAAAAAACAATGGAAGCGATTACTAAAGAATCAACATCTTAAGGGAGACTAACACATCTGATCTGATAGAAATACGTATACCTAGATTTTCACTTTTGGTTTGTTACTGATATGAGCTTACCAGAATTTTTTCTGAAACCAAAGATGGTTTCAGCTTTGCTTGGTCTTGTGACAGCAAAATCAAAAGCTAGGATGAATTTCAGATGCAATCCTCTTGTCTCTTCTTCATTCATGCGACTTCGCTGGCATTCATAGGAGGATTACAGTCTGAGAAATTGAAAAGATCATTGTGTTGAAGACATACATATTCCTTCTTTCTAGAAAACTTGACACGACCAGCTTACCCCAATCTAACAGCCTACAACATACAGTTAGATCCCATTCAAGATGATTGTTCTCTACCCCTATTCCTACGCTTCTTCCTCTTCAGTGGCGACTCTCCTCTTGGACCATCTGATGCATCAGTGCTTTCACCGTTACCAACTAAATTTGGACCTTGTGATGGAGGCTTCTGGTGAGCGGTGATGGGAGCAGAATCAAGCGGTGGTTGAACACTCTGACTTGATGGGTCACTCAACTTTGCTGCCCCATTTCCTATCACATAAAACCGTACTGCTCCATTAGCAGCAGGTCTACCCGTGCCTTGTGATAGAGGCTTCTGGTGTGCGTTCAGTATAGCTGAATCAAGGGGTGGGGGGATACTGTGACTAAACGGGTCCCTCGACTTTGCTGCCCCATTGACGGCAGGAGTACACGATCTGAGGAAGTAACAGTGCATTTCATTTGTGTCATTGCTTCCACGTGCATCATCCCTTAACATATCGCACATAATCGATTTGTGTAAGTAGCAATCCTGAAGGGGCGCAACAGGGTCGTCGGTCACAGTTTCATTTTCCACCGAAGTCAGAAACTCCTCGGATTCCTTTGGAAATGAGATCCCAGATAGACCATCATACGATAGAGCACAGGCTATAGCATAAACTGAGGCCCCAAGACCAGGAGGCAAAACTTTCCTTGGATGTGTAACCTACAAAATGGTAAAACATAAACTCAGATAAAATGGTAATCTACAGGGTTTCAGGATATAAATGAACTATTGTGTTGTACTGCAAATATCAATGCAAAAACAGCTGTAAAAGTACGAACAAAGAAAGTACTTTGAATAAGATTGCTGCAGATAAACGTTCTCTCAAGCAGTAGATCTGAGCAACGTCCAGAGCTTTTGACCCAAACTGAAGCCACCGATCCACTATAACTGTGACTGAATTATCAGGAGATGACATAATTTTCTCCTTGTGCTGTCCACCTGACTTACCGTCTATCTCCATTGCATCTTCATCACTTTCATCCTCATTGTCATCCATATCACTCCCCTCATCAATGTAACCATCATCATCATCCTTGTTAGATGGAGCAACAGAAATTTCTGTAGAAAGAAATAGTAACGGAAGTGGCCCAATAACAGTACAGTTCCGTATGTTCATCACACCCGCATCCCCACGGGTTATCTCATCAAACATAATCAATGGACGATCATCACTGTTAACCTTGAAAGCTAACTTATAATTCATAGAGTGGTTGTTTAAACAAACTTTAACCCCATTAGGAGTTTCTACAACAGATCGTTTCATCTTCTTGCGAGCAGGAACCAATCTCCCCACCATTGGATATAAACCGGCCACGAGAACAGCACGGAGTATTCCTGGGTTACGTGCATTCAAGCTACATCTTGATACATCCTCAGGAATAAAACCATGCCGAATTAGCTCGCTCTGGAGCTGCTTGCGCATACGAGATAGCATATGCATCGTACTTGAAGACACAAAGTATTGAGAACAGAACAGACTCTCTTGAGCTCGTTGTTTAGCAGTCTTCCATATGTCAAATGCTGCTATGACTGCTAGCTGATCACTATGCCCACCATACAATGAAGCAAGTTCATATTTAGCAGCAGCGGCTCTCTTCTTATCATCAGGTAACATAGGCAGGGAAAATGGATCCTTGAAGTCAGTAGCACATGCCAGAGTCAAAGCTGGGTCAAGACAGTTCATCAGTATAGAAAAGAAAAGCATCTTGCTCGTCAATGGATGAACAGGTAGAGAACCTAGCTTCTCCCCAAGTACTGTAAGTTTCTCATCAAGTGACAAAGCCCCAATATCCTGAAGAACAGCAACTGCATTGTGTATGGTCTCGGAAAGTGGAGGATCCAATGTCTTAATCAAGAAATCTTCTATATTGCAATCTGGATCAAGTAACTTCACCTGTCAATCAGAAATAAAATCTTGAAAAGCTTTAATAGATCACAAAAACTCATTATACTTCAAAAACACAATAGTAGATCACAAAGTATCCAAAAACACGCTAGTAGATCACAAAGTATCCAAAAACACTCATTAGATCAGAAAAACTCATCTAATGGAAACAACACCTCTTCTCTTATTGGTCGGAATATTAGTACCAGGTATAATGCAGTTCATTTTGGAATAAGAATACACGTCCCTATAGGCAACTTCTGCGTGTGCATATTTCCAACAACATGATGAACGCAGGATGAAAACAAAACAAAATGACAGTAGCCATAACTAAACAATTGCAATACGTCCCACCGACCTGTGACATGTCAACATGCTAATGTTATCTTTTATCATTGCTTATTTATGATCACACAACAACGCGTCATTTCACTAATTTCTTTAGTTCCCAGAAAATAGTATATGCCCAAATAATGTTACATTTTTTCTGTGGAATTTGTTTCTTGGGGCAAATTCTTTGTCTCAAACAAAGTTTCCACAGACAGTAACAGATAGATGAACATATGACCCCAGTAACTGAGAACGGATAAACAATGCGATAGATTTACAGCAATGCAATCTCTCTCATGATTCAAAGAGGTTTAAGAAATGTGGAGAAAGGTATACCTGCAGGCAAAGCCCTTCAATTGGCATTCTCCTAATCTCAGGCACCTGAAAATCTGGCAATGAAGCTGCTCGAACTTTAGAATAAAGATGATAACAGATTCCAGGCTGACAACGACCAGCACGGCCCCGTCGTTGCTTGGCACTCGCTTTTGACACCCAAGAAGATTGAAGACTTGATACATTATTGAAAGGATCATAATTTTTTTCTTTCATCCGGCCACTATCAATAACATAAACGACATCATCGATGGTGATGGCAGTTTCAGCCATATTAGTTGAAAGAACAATTTTACGGCAACCAGGATGGGGGCGTTTGAAGACCATCTTTTGGTCAGCAGATGGAACCATCGAATGTAGAGATATTATCAAAACCTTAGAAGTATTTCTGAAATATGGGTTCATGAGTAATCTCTCCTGGGTTTTTTTTATATCATCCCACCCTGGAAGGAACACAAGGATGGCTCCATCTTTTGAATCACTACAAATTTTCCTTAATAATTGCTCAATAAGAACAAAATCAACATTTTCAGGATTAAAATATTGGAGATATCTATCCATTAACAGTTGTTCTTTCATAGACTTACTTAGAGCATTTTCAATATGCTCTTTCAATATATCAGCAGTTTCTCGCTGCTCTTCCCGTTGAGCCAACTCCAATGCAGTTGCTCCATCATTGGCCTGTAATTGGCAGTCCGCACCAAAAGATAGCAGCATGCAAACATCTCCTGTTCTACCCTTTCCAGCAAACACCATTAACGGCGTAAGTCCGGTTAAAGAATGCTGATAATTAAAGACTTTGCGAGTTCTTTCAGAAGAAGTCAACTCTAGAAGGGGATCAAACTCATCATTAGACCAAGCCAGATTAATAGCTTCATCTAGAACAAGCTTCAATTCCTGTGTTAAGTCAGGATCTTCATTCTGTAAGCCTACTGCAGTATTAAGGTGATTATTTTCTACGGATTTCAGGATAGAAAGTACATCCTCCAAATAGAAAGTTTTGACCTGATAAAGGATAATACCACGGCATTAAAACGAAAGCAGCATAATATACACAACTAACAAATCACTATCTTTCTTTAGACAAATTGACAAGTCACTATCTGAGGAAGAGTTTTTACAGGATAAGTGAACCCAGGGACACGGATAATTGGGCATCCACCAAAATAATGTGAAAACCGTTCAGCATCAACAGTTGCACTCATCAGTATCTGTTACAATAAGTATCATAAACAGACGCAGATCATCAATTAATATAAGCTCCAGAAAAAAGGGTAATGTACTAATATCCTAAGAATGACAGAAATAGAAGACATGTTTGAACTAACCAGACGTAGATGAGGGTGTGAAGAAAGCATGTCTCTGCACATTAATCACATAAAAACAGAATTCCGTGAACAAACCAAAATCAGACTCGAAAATTCATGATTGATAAACATGCATTCTGACATTTCATTTGCATCACCATTAAACTATAATACACAGCAACAATTCTGCTCAAACTATTATCCACATTAATACACAGTAACATTTCACTCAAACTAGTATTGATTACTCTTCATACTTGGCATTCCCCAAATTTAAGTTACTCTAATTTGAGCTCCAAATCAAACCAAAATTATATACACATCCGGGTTTATTAACACAAGCAAACAACTTAATGACGATAAATCAATGTGTAGTATATACCTTATAATTGCCAGCATAAAATCTGAGTGGTGATCCCTTTCATGAATTTCATCCTATAGAGGGAAAAGCATTCATTGAAATTGTAATCCATGACAACAGAAACAAGG